CAGTGGTTGCTCCTACCCATTCAGTGGCCTGAGCAGTGGGGGCTGCAGACCAGTCTTCCGTGGCAGGCTGGGCGCTCCAGTCTTCAGGAGGGAACTGCTGGATGGGCACAGAGGGCACCTGCACGCCTTCAGACCAGTCGGCAACCTCAGGCTGAGTGGCAGTGAACTCAGGGGCCGGAGCAGTCCATTCGCCCTGAAACTCCTCCTTGGTCACAGCCTTCTCAGCAGCAGCCTGCTCTTCTTTTTCAATCTTGTTGTTGCATGGGATGGCAATGTCCACATAGCGCAGAGGAGAATCTGTGTTACACAGAGCAATGGTCGGTAGGTTAACATAACACGCCTCCGTGAGAGGCTGGTGGTCAGCCCTTGGGTCAGTAACCACAAGCAGCCGTGGCTCCCGGAAGGCTGCCTGGATCTGGTTGGTGAAGGTTCCAGGAGTAAAGCGGCCAGCAATTGGAGTGGCTCCAGTGGCAGCAGCAAACTTCAGCACGGCCCTCTGGCCAGTATTCCTGGAGGATATAACACTGACATCAGCAGGGTTTTCAATAGCAACAATGGCACGAGCTGCCAGGAGAAGCTTCTCCCAGGTCCTCTTCAGATTTATGATGTAGATGCCATCACTTTTCCTTTTATAGATATACTGTTCCATCTGGAAGTCAAGGTTGGTGCCACCTAAATGCGTTCCTGCTGCCAGGAACTTAAGGACATCCTCCTCCTTCATTTGCAGGACATCAAGGGCTCCGGACATTGTGAAAGTTTCCCTTTAAGTTACGATGGGAATCCAGAACAACGCCGTTTGGAGCCCTCGCCAGGTAGCGCGGAAAGCACAAGTCTTAATCTAGCATTACTACCAACTGGTTTTTCACTGGTCTGAAACAAAATATCTAATATTTTTATATGCCTATATAGCCCTGCAGTAATAATTAACTTGTGGAAAAGTCTACACTGATTTTTTTTATATATATATAAAGTATTTGCTTCAACCATAGAACAGAAACAACGTTGATTTAGTGAGGAAAACGTAAATTTATTTGAGGACAGGTTCAGGATTGCTAAATTGAAAAGGTAAAGAAAATTTGAAACAAACCCCAAAAAGAAACATTTTCACATCTTTACTGAAAAAGCTAAATAGGCCAGGTGTGGTGGCTCACATCTGTAATCCCAGCTAGTCGGGAGGCTGAGGCAGGAGAATCGCTGGAACGAAGGAGGCAGAGGTTGCAGTGAGCCAAGATTGTGCCATTGCACTCCAGCCTGGGCAACAAGAGCGAAACTCCATCTCAAAAAAAAAAAAAAAAAAAAGAAAAAGCTAAATAACAGTACACTGAACTTGGTTAATAACAAGATAAATCCCTGTGGCCAAGGTGAGGCAAAGATACTACTCTACTCTGCTAGCCTGCCTTGTGTTGCTCAGTGAACTTAAGTATTAACTGGGGCAATGTATTGTTTTTGCTTTATTTTCTTTAGCTGTGCAGTAAAGTCTTTTCTTTCATATAAAGATTGCGCGACGCCGGGCGCGGTGGCTCAAGCCTGTAATCCCAGCACTTTGGGAGGCCGAGGCGGGTGGATCACGAGGTCAAGAGATCGAGACCAGCCTGGCCAACATGGTGAAACCCCGTCTCTACTAAAAATACAAAAAATTAGCTGGGCATGGTGGCGCGTGCCTGTAATCCCAGCTACTCAGGAGGGTGAGGCAGGAGAATTGCCTGAACCCAGGAGGCGGAGGTTGCGGTGAGCCGAGATCGCGCCATTGCACTCCAGCCTGGGTAACAAGAGCGAAACTCCGTCTCAAAAAAAAAAAAAAAGATTGCACCAAGTTATTTCTTTTTCAGAAGTGCTTTTAAATCAGTTCTATTTAAGTATTTCTCTCTCTCTCAAACTCGACATTTTTCATTACATCTTTTTTTTCCAATGCAAAAATAGCAGCATTAACATTCATTCCAGTCACTAGGTAAAAATTCTCTTCAGTCAAACACACATGGATAATCTAATTCATGAAGTAAATGACTACTGTCAGTATTACAAAGTTCCAATTTACTTGCAGAGCAAAAAAAAAAAAAACGAAATAGTCATTTTCCTCAAGGGTTTAAATTATGGGGTTTTAATGTTGAAGTAAATCAACTTGCTAGTTTTCTAGTTTTTAACCTCAAGTTTTTTCCATTTTATTTTATCTCAAAATTATTATCCAGAGATTTCTGAGGTAAATTACACTAAAGACAGCTCTAGTAACTGAGAAACAAATGAGTCACACATAAATCTTCTTCATATATATGCATACATACTAATTTCACATAATGTTCCTGACGGCGGTGACAATATCACAGCTGGAAGGGACCCTAGAGACCATCCCAATCCCTTAACACTAAGGATAAGAAAAACAAAAATCTGCAGAAGCAGAGTGACCAGCACAAGCTCATGAGACATGTCATCGGAAGCAGGGAGCAAGACTCAGTCTCTTGCCTTCCGGGCCAGGGCCAGTCTTCCTGCGGTAGGCTAAAAGCTGCCTTTCACAGCTTCCCACAAATTTCAACACATCCTCACTCAAGTACCGTTCTGAAAGAGACTCACCAACAACTCTTTAGAGAAAAGGAACTGTATCTCAACCCATAAAAAAGTTTTAAGTCTAGCTTATCAAACTTGTAGTCTCTGAAGCATGTAAGAGCAAGTTTGCCAATATTTCTCATTATCCCCCAATACTTTAGTGACTATTTTCTACAAACAAAACGAGACCATTCTCCCACACAATCAAAACGCAACCATCAAAATACTCATCTGTGAGATGATGACCAAAGGCCTCGAAGTCAGAATCCCATCCAGGCGAAACAATAGAGCAGTTACCTGTGGAGCCTCGGTTGGCCTTGGACAGCTGGTCCCCTTCCACTCATACCACAGCCCACCAGGACCAGACATGGAAAGCCCCTCATGCTGGAAATCTTGGCGCAGTAGAAAGGCGGTCACCCTTTTGCCCATCACGCAACACACATTCATGGGGGACCTGGTGCTAAACCATTCATAGACAACCCGTTTCTGGGTCAGGATTTTGTACACAGTAGAGCAGTCAACCATCGACACAAGGGTTTGTAACAAAAAAAAAAAAGGAAAAAAAAAAAAAAAATAAAAAAAAAAAAAAAAAAGAAGATAAAAAATAAAATCATTAGGCTGGATGCAGTGGCTCCTGCCTGTAATTCCAGCACTTTGGGAAGCTGAGGCGGGCAGATCACAAGGTCAGGAGTTGGAGGCCAGCCTGGCCAATATGGTGAAATCTCATCTCTACTAAAAATACAAAATAAGCCAGGCGTGGTGGCGGATGCCTGTGGTCCCAACTACTTGGGAGGCTGGGGCAGGAGAGCTGCTTGAACCTGGGAAATGGAGGTTGCAATGAGCCAAGATCGCACCACTGCACTCCAGCCTAGGCAACAGAATAAGACTCCATCTCAAAAATAAATAAATAGAACAAAATAGAGTAAAATCAAATAAAATCATTAACACAGATACACAACTACAATCTAATCTTCAGACCTCATTCTACTAGTTTTGCCAATCACACCGACTCAGAATCATGAACCACATGGAGTTGCCATGTCTCTTTAAACTTCTTTAGTGTGGAACATTTACTCAGTGTTTTCTTGGTTCCAAGGTCCTGACTTTTTTGAGGTTTACAGGTAAGTTATTTTGTAGAATATCCCTAAACTCAGGTTTCCGTGATGTTGCCTCATGAAGATATGGATTATGCATGGAACACTTGACTGTCCCTATTCTAACTACATATAGATGTTCCTTGACTTACTATATGGGGTTACATCCTGATAAACCCAACATACACTGAAAACCTTGTAAGATGAAATGTGTTGTGTTGGAAGGAGGTTCTGGCCCTGTTGCCAGGCTGGAAAGCCGCGGCACAACAACGGCTCACTGTAGCCGCAACCACCCAGGTTCAAGTGATCCTCAGCCTCCAGGCTCCCAAGTAGCTGGGATTATAGGCATGTACTACCACACCTAACTAATTTTTTTTTAATTACCTTTAGTACAGTCGAGGTCTCACTATGTTGCCTAGATAGGTCTCAAACTCCTAAGCTCAAGGACTTCTCACGCGTTGGCCTCCCAAAGAGCTGGGATTATAGATAGGCATGAGTCCTGCGCCCAGCATAGCTGAAAATGCATTTAATATGCCTAACCTACCAAACATCACAGCTTAGCTCAGCCTACCTTAAACATGTTCAGAACACTTACATTAGCCTACGGTTGGGCAAAACCATCTAACGCAAAGCCCACCGTGATGTATTAAGTACTATACTGAAAATAAAAAACAGAATGTTTCCGTGGGTACTTGAAGTAAGGTTTCTGCTGAATGTGTATCACTTCCATACCACTGTAAAGTCATCTGACCACCAAGCCAAATACTTGTACTTCTGCACATTCTGCTTTACATGGAGCCTGAGGCAAAGCAGGATTCACATCTCGTCAACACTGTTTGCTTCAAAGGAGTAACAACAGTTAGAGCATTAACTAGGTACAAAGTGCTCAGCACCTCACCTATACTGCCTTTATAATCTTCATGACACAAATCATGTGACCCCTTACTTGTGACTGGCAAGTTACTCAACTTGAGTTTCATTTTCCTCACCTGTAAAAACGGGGAGAGTAGCCGGGCGTAGTGGCTCACATCTGTAATTCCAGCACTTCGGGAGGCTGAGGCGGGTGGATCACAAAGTCAGGGGTTCAAGACCAGCCTGACCAACATAGTGAAACCCCATCTCTACTTAAAAATACAAAAATTAGCCGGGCGTGGTGGTGTGCACCTATAATCCCAGCTACTTGGGAGATGGAGGTTGCGGTGAGCCAAGAGTGTGCCATTGCACTCCAGCCTGGGAGACAGAGTGTGAGACTCTGTCTCGAAAAAAAAGAAAAGAAAAAAAAGAAACGGAGTGATACACTCCCTGGAGAATAGCAGGGAAAACAGCACCAAGAACTTTAACCTGACAAGTCAGAAATCAATGAGAGACCTCTTTTGACCACTCCCACCCTTGCCCCTCAGACCTTACGAGATAGTTGGCTTTATTTAAAAAATGACCTCACCTTGGGCCTCAGCTGACTAAACCAGAGCCAAACACTCTTCCAGGCTGGAAATCCCAGGCAAAGTTAGCTGCTCTGTGAAGAATGATCTCCTAACAGTGTTCTGACAGATCCTGTCCCACTTGGAATCAAATTCAGAGTGTTCTCAGCCTCTGCTCATCAAAAAACCTGAACACATACCTTCAGGAAGCTAGGGTCAGCTCTTTTCTGCTGAGTTCATGGGGAAGTGACAATAGAAAACCAGGGTAAAAAGGCCAGGCGCGGTGCCTCATGCCTGTAATGCCAGCACTTTGGGAGGCTGAGGCCGGCAGATCACCTGAGGTCAGGAGTTTGAGACCAGCCTGGCCAACGTGGTGAAACACGGGGGGTCTCTGTTAAAAATACAAAAATTAGCTGGGTATGGTGGCACACACCTGTAATCCCTGCTACTCCGGAGGCTGAGGCAAGAGAATCACTTGAACCCAGGAGGCAGAGGTTGCAGCGAGCTGAGATCGCTCCAGCCTGGGCAACAGAAGGAGACTGCCTCAAAACAAACAAACAAACAAACAAAAAACGGAAAGTCTACAAATACAATGGCTTCTCACTGCATTGTTTCCCTTCTACAGTATTCAGTGCCAATCCCTAATGAGTACCATCTCCCTTGCCTCCTTTGAGAATGTGCACTCCCAGTTCTCTGGTCTCTCTGACCACATTTCCTCTGTCCTCTTCCATTAGTTACCCTTTCTTGACACAGTAAAGGCAGGCAATCCTTTG